GGGGGGGGGGGGGGGGGGGGGGGGGGGGGGGGGGGGGGGGGGGGGGGGGGGGGGGGGGGGGGGGGGGGGGGGGGGGGGGGGGCGGAGAGTGTGTTAAATCTGAATTCACAGAAAGCATATTCTATATTCAAAACATGTAGGATACAGGTAGGATGTTCAGCTCTTCAAATCTGGAAGTATGACTTTAAGCAAAAGAACCCCAAACTTCATTTTCACAAATAGCATCACCGTGACATTACCATGTGTGAAGAAATTTATTAAAACACACTTTCAAAACGTCTTGACCCAAGGCGTTCAGAAAAGGCACCTCTCAGTCTTCCAGTATTGACCTTAACTCTGGAAACAAGCATTAGCTTCACATTTCAGAAACTGAGAGAAACTAAAACTTGCACACAGAACTGTCACAAGCTGATGAAACATCCATGAAGGGCTGAACACAGAAAGCTGAGGGAAGAGGGATACATCTTCCGCAGGACCCTAGCACCACCTGAAGAGGCATGACATTCTTATCATGCTCTGCTTCCTGTAGAGCTTTTTAAGAGAATAGGGAAATAAGGGATTTGGGGAGGTTTGTTTTTAAATAGCAGTCCTACAGTCAGGCCTTCACAAGCATACATGCACACACACCAGAAGACACAAAAATCCAATGCACATTTCACCATTCTCCAGACCACTCTGCCTACTCTGGATCTACACTGAATTCTATATGCTCCATAAGCTGCTGTTGTAATTTCATAATTTAAAATAACCATTTGTAAAACCTACATCATATGCTACACTATGTTTTTATAGTGCACTGTGCATACTTCCGTTCTACTAGTCATCAGACCTCGAAGCATAATCCACATAGGCTCATCAGGACCGTTCTCTCCAATCTTTCTCCCCATCTTCAAAGCAGAAGGAGAAGCTAGGACATCCCAGTGCTACTTTTTAATTCCAGGACATCCCAGCACTACTTCTTAACTCCTCCTTCTATATCACAGCTCATGGTTAGATTAAATACTATTTTCTATTCTTCCCATAAACTTAACTTCCTATTTCAGCTGTGGCTTACTAAAGGTAGAATGATTATATTGTCATTATTTTTATGTTGAAATATTCCTCACAAATCACAGAAAAAAATGGTTTTGCATTACATAATTTGATTTTGCTCTACACAATAAAGAAAAAATAAAGCCCTTGAATACTAGCCAAAGAGGTAATCAATTATTTGCCACAAAGCAAAATAAGAGAATAAAAGTATCTTCACTTGACAGTGTAACAAAAAGTAAGATGTCATTAAGAAATTTATCTCTTTATTTTTCTATTCATTTCAAGTTCCAAGCTACTTGTGAAGTGACCAACTTACCCAGATTTATCCACCGTCTCAGTTAAGGGAAAAAACAATGCAGAAGGTAAAAAAATTTGGCCAAATATTTCAAGGCAAGTAAAGTGACACAAGACTTTCAGCAGTACAAAATAAATGCCTTACACCAATAAAATACAAAGAGCAGGCAAGAAGGTAATTACTTTCTTAATTCAATTTCTAATCCAGGAAATACAAAAGAAGAAACATTGTCCTTCAAGACAGTGATAGCCAGGTACCTTTTCCCAACACCAACATGAAGTCAAGACCATGACTTTTCATTACTAGTCTCCATAAAACGCAAGATCTAGTGCCAGAATGTTTGATTTTCAAAGCCATTCACACTTGAAGATGTACTTCAGCTAACATCCCTGATTGCTGAGAAATCACAGTACAAATAAAAACTGTCAGATAAAAGACAGAAGGAGGGGTGTGTCTGTGAGTGGCCTTGCTTTTTTAAAAAAATCTTAATTTTAATTTCAAAATATATTTCTTCAGAATAAATGCAAAGGCTCTTGATGAACAATGTTGGTGCTATTGTTAAAACTCGGGAAAATCTGGTTTAAGAGGTTAATGAAAGACACAAAAGAAGTAATTTCCAAAAACCAGCACCCACAAACAAACCACCAGAAGGCTTGAAAAATTACATGAAGGAGGAAAAAAAGAGCCAACGTTAAGATAGGCACTCTGTATCCTTTCCTTTACACACTAAGAAGCAACTGGTCTTCCAGAAAAAGGAGCCAGTCCCATATAACAAGAACAAAGAAGCCAGTGTGAAAGCAGCACTTCAGTGTTCTTTTTTTCAGAAACACAACTGGAGAGAACCAGGAAACTGGGAGAGCTCATAGCAGGACAGAAGATGACAATAAACAAGTGGCAGCAAAAAATAAAATGAAGTGTCTTAAAAGGTATCCCAAGAATGATGCTGCAACAAGGGGGAAAAAAAAGAAATCCAAGGAGAAAGAAACTGCCAGAGGGCAGGAAAAAGTGAAATCAGCTAGATGCACTGAAGTAGCCAGGGAGGATGCAATAAAGAATATGGTAGCTTGGAGAAGGCATTAGTTCAAGAACACAAGAGGCTGAAACTTAGGCTAATAAGGCAGGAATAAACAAGTGCTTTAGAAGAACAGGATTGAGCAGATCACTGTAAACTGCTCCTTTGCTGTTCCAGACAGCACTGTGGGCAACAGCAACAAAAACATAGTAAAAGCAATGAGGTCAGTACACACAGCTATTTCCAGCTCAGGATAAACTACAGCTGAAACATGCATCATACTGAGATTAAAATATTTTTATATAAAAATATATATGCATACATACATATATATATATATACACATATATGTATATGCACATATATATGTGTGTGTGTGTGTGTGTGCGCATATATATGTATTTTGCCCTCTTCAAAAACACATCCATCACTATCTCTTGGAATAGCACATCAAAACTTTGTTGCATTTTTAAATTTTTTTAAGATTTTAGAATACCACATAACTATTTTAAGGCTAATTTTTTAATTGATTTTTCAGTATGATAGTTATATTTGTCAAAACCCTGTTTTAAAGACATGTAAATCTAAATTTTAACAACTTTACTAGCTTCTCATGGATTTTCACTGTTAGAAGGGGCAACTGCTCAGTAAGACATCCACGTACTTTGCATTTGCTTATGTTCAATTAGACCTGGATCTTCTTTCATACACATTTCCCAAACCAATATATGAAAAAACCCCTATTTTCACAGGACCATCCTTCCAATAATACATCTAATTCTTCAAAGGGCGCCATGATCACCTCAGGAAACAACCTAGAGAGAAAAACTTACACTATTTAAAAAAAAAAAAAAAATGTGATGAATGTAACAAAGGCAATGATAATTTGCAGCTTGAGAGTGTTTCCTCACAACAGGAGCCTGTCCCTGGAATGCTCTTGCCCTGTAAAGCTTGACCTGCTAGAAATTACTTGCTGCTTTGACCAACCATAACTGGATGTTTGGAGAAAACAAAACAGCTCCTAGTTGTTCCCTACCTTCATTCGCCATACAATGACACCATTGGCTAAAGAAAAAAGCAGGAGTTTAGCTCTCCCTCTGGTTTTACAGCCCTCTGCCCAAAATCCATTCATTTGGCAATGAAAACCACCCAGGGTATCCCATTCACTGGCATGTGGTGGTACCACAGAGCAAGAGACAGAAAGGGAAAAGAAATGAAGTGAAACTTTATTTTTACCTAAGAACTAATTAATCTAAGGACTATTCAAGACATATCTTTATTCAGTTTTGATAATCTCAATAGTTTAAGAAGAACTGTCTCCTGTTGTCTGGGTGGATTTTTTCATACACAAGGAAAAACTAATGTAGAAAAATTAGTAGAAAGGCTTAGCCACAAAATGTTATTAAAATCATTAAGGCAACGGTCATAAGAAAAACTTTCCTATTTCAGTTACAATAGCCTTACCTGTTGACAGTAGTATGAAAAAAAACACACTTTTGTTCTACATGAACTCTAGTTTAGGATACAAGTTCAATTTAAGAATTTACAAACATTTTTGGAAACTCTATTCCTGTATTTTAGTCTATGCACTGTAGCTGCACGTTTTTTTAAAAGCACCATGTTTTTAAAAAGAATAACTTCTTTGTTGCTCTGTATCAACTCATGTACTACAAAAAAGTGTAGGTATTAAAGAGTCTACTAAACTCAAGCCACAATACAAAAATATTCTTTCTGTATTTCTGTGTACTTTTCACAACAGTATGGAAGTACAGGATAAAATACATATAAAGACAAGAACCTCAAAGGCAGAAAAATCACCTGGTCATTTTCAGGCTAATAAATACAATTAGATAACAAAGATAAACTACTCATTAAACCACAGCAGATAGCAAAAGAGAGTCTAACCATATCGCCTGCTATTTAAAGAGCAAGCTAGTAACCACCCCTAAATTTAAATTCAATGTAAAGTACAGAAGTACTATAAAAAACATGTGGCAGAAGTGAACTAAGAAGGCCTTCCAACTCAAACTGTAGAACCTGCTCCAGTATATAAGCCCTGGGTGAGGTGTACTAGGAGGGGTAGGTAATGGGAAAAGGAACAGGATGATGTCCTTTAGCTTTCAGTCCTTCAAGCAGAAAATTATTAGTTTCTGCCATTCTACAATTAATGCCCTTTCAGGGTCTATTTTACCCAGAAACCTGAGAACTATGGGTTTTTGAAGCAAAAGGGAAAATCATTACTTTCCAATTTACCCACACCCTTACCTTAGAATCCTAAAAAGACAGCATGTCTGAGCACAGCACATCTTCAGCACAAGAGCAAGTTGCAGTGTAGGAATAATATCAGTTTCACTTCATTACCGAATTCATTACAAGAAAAGCAAAACCAGACAGTGATGTGTGCATGCCAGTAGAGAAGGAACAGGGATGCCAAGGGAAAAACATAAGACATGTGGTCAGAAAAAAAAGGCAGCTCATACACTTTCCAAACCTAAAGCAATTAGGAAAGAAGTAAGACAGTGTCATCCAGTCAGACTTATCCCATTGACACAGACGAGAAAAATATCAGGCTTATATCCTTTGGGGTGTCTCAACCTTGATGTACGATCTTAAGTCTATCTATCTGTTTTAAGCATGAGATAACATAGTAGGAATGTAAAAATACCTTTTAAGACTTGAATTGAATTCCCTAGGTTTGCTCTCTTGATGGAAGTGTCTTTGACATAAAAAGGTCTCTTTATTTACAAATAAAAAGGTACGGCTCCACTTTATGTAATTACTAAATAAAACCCACAGAAGAGAAGAAGCACAGATAGAAGCATGATTTACTGAAAGAAAGAGTGTTTAGTGATTAGCAGCTATTGAGCACTCAGGTCATTGTTACAATACTCTCATTCAGTCTTCCCACCTCCAATTTTCACAGAGCAGTCTAACATGCCTTCAACGATTTCATCAAGTCTTATGTGTTCAAGAACATTTCTCTAAGCAGGCTCCATACACACATGACAGTCAGCACTCTGTACATTCATTCATTATTTTTTGGAATGTATTTTATTTATGCATTTAGAAATCACCCAATGCAGCCAAACTACAAGTCACTTATAGATGTATAATTGTAGCTATTTGTAGCTAGAAAAAGGATGATGGAAGATGTAACACGCACAGATACCATTCTATTTTGCTAACAAAACACCGCTACTATTAATGCATGATCAGATTTTCAAAGGGTCAGATGTTTTAAAAAATTCCTAAGTCCTAAGAAAATCTGTTACATTTTACTTCCCCTATAAAACTCATTGCTTCCTTTCCTCTTCAGGTCCCCATTCTTCCTTGAGCTACTAAGACAACGAGGAAGACAATGATGTCTACTAAACTTCTGTCACTAAGCTATGTCTCAGAGGATCAATGTAAGTTTTAAATTCTTGACCATCAGCTGTGAAGCATACCAAGTATTAGGTGCTGCTAAAGGTAAGAGATCGACATAAAATTCATGGTTGTCAGGCTACATTCTTTGGAAAATAAAGTGAGATTTAAATTTTGGCAGACATAAACCCCAGGCAATGAAGCTAAATAGTACTTCATCTTTAAGTAATACTTCAACTTTACTTAAGCTATTTCTGTGGACTAAAGAGACCATTCATAAATTCTGAATCACTGAAACTCACATGAAAATGACATAAAAGTACACAGAATAGAATTTTGTTTTCTACACAAATATTTTTGACACTCATCTGCCTCTCAGAATCAGCGCTGTGCTTGTAAGTCCAACATGTCCCCTGAAAAACTCTTCATCTCATTTCTTCTCTTACCAAGAATCTCTACAAGAATGCCACAGCTTTTAATATTGTGGAAACAGTTCAGTCCAGAAGCAACAGAATACACAGCTCTTTCAGGATGGCAGTGATGATGACCCTTCAATTACCATGATACAGTCATAAAAGCAAGAAAGCAACTTCCAGTCCAAAAGAGCTTCACACTACTTTTGCAATAATTTCAGTATGGGTCTCAGTCCAAAAAAGGGACTGAATTCACACTAAAACTCTAGTAGAACTCCCCTATCCTTCTCTCCTTCTACCCCATCTAAATAGCATTTGAACTGCTGGTTAAGCACTCTCCCAGGACACGTGGGAGGCAGCACCGACTTAAAAATACAGCCCATTGCACCTGCTGGAATATGGGAATCATTTTAGGCAGCTACAACAGGTAGAAGCTTTCACTGTTTTCTCAAAGAGACAAGGTGCCAAATGTTTCTTCCAACCACAGATTTTGGTAGTTGTGCCCTTGCTGCTTTGCCATACAACAGAGGGAATCTAACTGGGGTTCACGAGTTCCAGTAACTGCTGAAGAACCACCATAAAGGACATCCTGCTAACCTCTATTTATAGGACCTGGGGAGGGGAGGAGAAGAACAGGGAGTAACAGATTGTAAGAGAACATGCAAAATGAAGCTTTACCATTAGCACAAGATAGCTCTACTAGATCAAAAATACAATTGTCCAGTTCACTGAACATGGATAAACAGTAAAGAAAGTTGCAGCTCTAACTTTAAAGAAACAGGCCATAAAATATCTATCCCATTTGTGATCTAGGGACACTGAAGTGGGATATCAGTTGTTTCAGTGGTACAGATTACCAACCTGAGACACACAATTAGGTGAATATATTGCATTACTCAATACAAATGTCAGATTACAAAACAGAAGACTTGACTTTATTCTACTTCCAGTAGCAAGACCGTGAAGAAATCTCTATTTCTAACTTTTATAATCAGTAATTATCCCTCAAATTCTTCAGATTAAAGAAAAAGAAGCACATATCCTCTAAATTAAAACATGACAAGGATTAAAACCTTTATAAACCATGGCAGATGTGTAGTCTGGGTTTTGTTTGTCTTAGAAAAATGATTACTTGTTTTTTTTCAAAAATATAACAAAGTTTTGCAACATTATCAAGTTATCTTTTGTGATCTTTTGTGATTTACTTACACTCTAAGTAATTTAACTTTATTATACTAATTAACTAAAATATTCATTTAACACAACATACACACCTAACAGTACATGAATTCCAACTCATTCTTCCAGGATTCAGTATGAACTAAAAAACATGTAACTGTCAAATCCCACCTATTCAGTTGGTAATATCTGCTCAGAGTACAGCAGGATAAAAATAAAGCGGCAAATGTGTTTGGTCAATACAAAAGATGTGCTTGCTCCTGTGGAAAAATGAGAATTTTTAAGAGGCACATTTGCTGATAAACTTGCATTCAAAATATAAGTACAAAGAACAGGACTAAGGGAATGGGCAACACAATCAAACACGATCAAATTACGCAACCCGTGTAAGTTACCACCCATTGCCAGAGCCAAACTAATTGATTCTAAATGTTCTTTCCTAGCTTGCCACAATTGCTAACTGTGAGGAGCTAGCTCAAACCTCTATATTTAAGTTTTACCTCACAGTTCAGATGGGCAGTTACGATCACGTACTTATCACAATTAGCTGACAAGCAGAAACTTGTTACTTCACTGCAACATAATCATACATACTGTCAGAAACGTACAACCCAAAGGGCAGAAACTCAACTTCCGAGAAGAATTGGAACCTAAGCCAGCCAAAACTACTAATGGTTTCTACTGGTCTGGGTGAACAGCTTCAGCAAAACAAAACAGTTTGAATTACAGAAATAAAAATGTTGCTGGTGCTTTTCTCTTGCTCCCTAAACTCTTCTGTCTGAAGAGAGGATATGAACCTAAGAACTTAGAGGATGCTTAATTTACAGACCTGATTTGAACTTGGACCTCCCACCATTCAAGAAATTGCTGTAATTGCCAAAACACCACAAAAATCCCAAACAATCTTATCACCTGAAGCAATAAGTGGCATCTCTTCCTTCATGTAGACTCGCAAGGAGCTGGCATCTGTCACCTCTGCAGAAGGGACAGTAAAGCCGGAAGCGCATCACCTCTAACATACATGGAAAGTCCAGCACAAAACTCAGGGCTGCGGCAATTAAAGTTACCACTATAAAAGTGCTGTTCTCTATCTACAATGGTATTGTACAGCCAGCAAGTTCAGGAATCCTTGACCTACAGGGTATCCTGTAGATACCCCGATCGCTGTTGAAGCTATTCCACTCTCAATAAAATAATTAACTATTCAGTGAACAGAGACTGGTACCTCTGTAGTCCTCACAACATCCATGCATTATAACACAAAATGAGTTCTCACATACTCGCTGGCCTGCACTATTCCCACCATTCTGTGAATGACGTTGAGACCTTTTGTAAAACAGCTCTTTCACTTTCTCGGCTTTCACTGAGAAAGCCCAGAAATGGAACAATATCTGACTGTAAATCTTACCCCCCTCAAAAAAGTTCGAGATGTTTCACACTTTATTTTAGTATGTATTGTTTTGCACATAGTGCTTCAAGCAACACATGCTGGAAAGTTAAGAGAACAGTTTAAGAACTGGACTTTATGTTCTTAGCTAATATCATAAACATACCTTCTGAGAACAGGACACAAACCCTGAATTTATTAACATGCTAGCTTTATGCAGAAGTAGTCCTATTGAACTAGTAATACACACACGATTGCAGAACAGGGAATTCGGCAAATATAGTTTTCCTCCCCATAACTGATGTTCAAATGAAATCCAGTGTTTTACTACCTTTCAGCAGACAGCCATCGGAATTTCACTCCATATTTCTGATTGTGAAAAACAAAAGCATCACACTTGTACTACATCTGAGATGTATGAAATAAAACGTGCCCATTTCTAAAACAGTGATTAGACACAGAATACCAAGAAACACTGCTTTCACTCTGAAGTCACACATACTTCCACCACCAAATCAGCCAATTAAAGTGTTTTTTACTGCTTGAGAAACAATAAGCACTGTCTGCACAATTAAGTTTTATCAGGTAGCAACACGTTGAAATGAATGAAGCAAAAGCAATCATCTGTTTCTGTTTATATTTAGGCAGGTAAGAATAATTCTGTTTTCTGTTTACACTAAAATTGAAAATGCCACATGTGTGTCATTCTATTTTAATGTATCTGGAAAGGTTGCTTTGTACCCTTCCGTACCACTAGTTCAAAACAGCACGGTACACCCGTAACACTGGCAAATAAATAAAAATAAAATTGTTAACAGGAGGTGTATGCTACCTACTTTTCACTTCGTACTGCTATGATTTTGTTAAAGATGAGTAGATTTGCAGTTGTGTGTGTGTGTATGACAAGCAGTTGCAGAGAGTGAACTTTACACAGCATGACTTCATCACATGAGAGTAATCTGCCATTTTTCCTGTTTCTGTCCAGCAAACATGCACAGCAACCTAACCTTCAAAACATATTAAACGTTCTGGAATAAGTTCTGGCTTTGCTTTAACTGATTATCTGCAACGAGAATATGCATATTCTATAGTCCATACAGGATCTGGAAAAGTCAAACCGAGGCAGGAGTGTCATTTAATCTAAGAATCATTTTAAGTCATGTGTCAAAAACTTTATAAAGTAGATGCCATTTTGTTATATATGTTGCAAAAAAACAAATCACGGCCCATTTTGTTTCCAATTTCGACTGGCTAAGGAAGCCAAATGAAAAAAAAAAAAAATCAGAAGACAACAAGAACCTTCAATGCAGCATGAAAGGACACCGAACGCCTTCCGCTTTCCAGCCGGGGGGGGCGGGGGGAGGAGAGGGAGGGAAGGAGGGAGGGAGCGCGCGCGCGGCGAGGGCACCACGTGACCCGGGGCCGGGTTACTCCTCGGGCCCCGCCATGTCAGCGCCGGCCCCGCCCCCGGGGAGGGGAAATGGCGGGGATAAAGCAGGCAGCCAGCCGGCGGCCTGGGGCTGCGCCTGCCTCTTCTCCCGGAGGCTGGCTGGGCGTCTGGATAGAACTGGGCCGTTCCGTGGCTTGTTCCCTCAGAGGAGGCTGTAGCTTGGGGTGGCCCGGCTCGGCTCCCTGAGGCGGTGCGGGGTAGGGTGCGTGTCTGGGCTGAGGCGATGAGGGAGGCTGGGGTGAAAGCTGTGCTCGCCTCTGTGTTCATACTTAGAAATTTACGTCTCCCGTAATAGTATATCGCAGGTGGCACAGAGCACGTACTAACACCCACTCTGAATAAAGGAGCAGCACCTGGAGTGTGATACCTCGTGTGATCAGTACTGTCCCGGTGGAAGTAACTGTGCTGTTTGCTTAAATATAAACCGGAAAACTGAAAGGCTGTTCTCAGCCAAGTGTTATACACCGGTAAAGAAGATAGTTAATCGATGACTCTACATGCATGCTGACCATGGGAGCTGACGTGTGAGAGAGAACTGCACGTAATGCTGTGTAGTTTTGAGGGCATTGGCTGGCTACAGGCATTATTAAAAGGACATTAGTTAAGTAAACTGTCAGGTACTATAGTAATGTCTGGGTATCGGTGTCGAATCATAGCTATTTCAGGTTTACAGAGTGTTGTATGATACGGTATGTCTAAAATGTTAGCGTTTAACTTGCAATTTCATTTTTTTTAACTCCAGTGCACTAGCAAGGGAATAAATTGGAAAGAGGAAACTTAAAATGTTGCAGAAATCTCACATAAAGTGTATTTGACTTTCCTCTGTGTTCTGCTATTAAACTGTGCCTGGTGTTTGAGTTGTTAATCAAATGCAGATTCTCTGAGGAAATCTCTTCTGTCATCAATAAATGGTTGTCCAGGAATTAGTATCCTTTAAAAGCAAATATTTTGAACTTCAAAGAAATATGACAGAGTAACAAGAACTCTTGTTCTACTCAGATTATGGAACACATAAGGAGAAGTTTGTGTACAGTTGTATGGCTGATAATTAGAGGAAGTTTTATAATAAATAGGTTCTAGTAGCAAATGGAAAGTTCCTCCAGATGTTGTGAATTTCTATAGGTTGATTTTTTTTATCAGAAAAAAAATAATTCTTGTTTACATAGTTCTTTAAAGAAAACTGCCAAACTAGGGGGGGGGGGAGAGATAATATTGCCCATCTAGTCTTTGTATCTTTGCTTTTTGTGATTTTTGCCATGTTTAACATGGCAAATTACTTAATATGTAGCTTTTAGTACTGTTCTTGTTCATGTCACTGTTCAAAAACTCACAAAAGGTAGCTTGTTCTGCCACCTGAAAAATAGGAACAACAAAGGTAGAACTGGAGTATGCACTGAGAGGTTGAAAAAAATGTAAATTATCTCTGTCCAGTTCTTGCATCAGCTAAAAAGCTTTCTGAAAAGTAAGACTGATTTCTTTAAGGGCTCTTGGCTTAGGGAGGGAGAATGACTAAGAATGGACTTCCTGCACTGGTAATTAATTTTCAGGTTTGAAACCTAGGTATTAAATGGTGACAGCTGTTTTTATAATGGTTAGTACTTGACATTATGATCCTTCTGTATATACTTGATAATACAAATGCAACTCTCTCAATGCACTGTTAGTAGCTTATACAGAGTACAGAAAAACAAAACCTTCCCAAGCCAGGAAAGGCTGTCAGTGGTTCTGGAAATTCACATTAAATTTGGGAGTTCTTTTACTTATTAAAACTTTTTGTTGTTATATATTTGCGTTTCACAGGGTGTCACAACAGAGGTGGCTCCTAAAAACTCTGTGTTAAATAATTCAGCTTTCCTCATTGTTATTTATTAGGTATTGTATTATTATATATATTTTTTTAAATCTGCTTTTGTAGCATGTTTGTAATCAAACTTTGTGCATAATTGGATTTTACGTAACCTCCAGGGGGAAAAAACTAATGTAGCTGTACCCCAGCATGTTTCAGAATTGTCTAATACACGTGCTGGTCGCTACAGTGCCTCGGTGCTCCATGGGCTAGCTGTGTTAGTGCCTACCTTGCTGTGCTATGCTCTCTGCCCACTTGTCTATCAAGCTCAAGTCTGGTGTGGTTATGTCTGTGCTATAATATGGTCCTGGTTCCACCTGCAGCACAGACAAATCCTTAGGGTCTTAGAATTATCCCTGGCAACTTGTGTTCATTCATTGAGAATTAAATTCTGATTCCTCGGGGGCTGAATGTTAGGATTTGGGAGTGGAAAAGGGTGAAGTAGGTTAATTACTGCAACTTTAGACATGTTTGGGCTTAGACATGTTTTGGGTACAAGTCTATGGCTTAGCTATTCAAAGCTGATCTGCTAGATCAGTTAGTATGTTCAGTAATTTTTAAGGAAAATATGCCATTTCTTGTATTATATTATGATTACCTCTAGAGAGAGGAGACAACTTTATAACTTCTTAATTTAAAGCATGTTCTTTTCATTATACTTTTGTCAATTTTACATTTGTAGGTACTGGAGCTTGCAGCAGGTTTATTATTTAAATTTGCTTTTATGACAGGCATTGTATAAATACATGGTGTACAGTGCCCAGTGTTGTGTTATATATTTGTACAATATAAAAGATGGCCCTTGCCTAAAAGACCGTGCAATCCAGCGTGACTCGGAGCATTTAATATCGCTCTTGCTTTTCATGTAATATGTATTTTAAAATACTGTTCCATATTATTCCATATGTCTTAACATTTAACAGTTTTGACTTGTATTGGTGCATGGGCTTAGTTTGTTCAGCTTGCTTTTGTTTCTGACAGATGGGCAATAAATGGGCACAGCAATGTATGAAAATTGCTGTTGAGAACAAATTATGTTACTTGATGTAATGATTCTTTTTGTCTTTGTACCAGCTGATGAAATACATGTGCAAGTCTTATTCAAGCTTGTTGAAATCCGAAATGTTTTTGAATTCAGTATAGTCCTTGTCATTTTATACATAATGAAATTCAAGTTTAACTGAATTTCAGTTAGCTTAAGCATTTAAAGAGTTTGACATAATGATGTCTGTCATTTTTTTTCTTGCAGTAACATTAAATCTTGATCTTTGAAGATGTTAAGAATCCTAAATTTTGCTCAGTCTCCTAAACTATTAGCATTGTGAATCATTATTGACAAAGAAAATGATTGACACCAATCATCCATAAAAATGTCATATTCCCTGTTCTTTGATTATCTGTGTCTGCCTATCAGTATTTCTCTGGCTCATTCAATAAGGATTAGTTATCACTTGCACATGATTACTCTTATTTACTAGTGAAATTTAACTTACGGGGCAACTTTTTTTTTACTAGAATTTCATGAAACCCTGTATTCTATAGAAAGCAAAACTAGTTTTCCTGCCATGTTCAATATATTACTATGGCTTTATATTCTTTATTAAAATAATACTCTATATGTTCATCATGATATAAGTATTTACAGTGTGATTGGCATAGCTCTGCCTCACATCACGGGGCGGGGGGGGGGATTTACTTACTGTTCTCTAAATGTTGGCATCAAATACAAGCCATGCTAAAATCAGATCCCTGAAATCAATAGGTCTTTGAGGAAAGATGGTTTTTTTTTCCTTCACTTTGGTAGGATTAAAATTGTAGGCCTGGCAGCGTGATTCTGTCCTTGAGAGTTAAACTGATGGTTATGGATGCTGATCTGTTCTTTTACAGTTTGTAAACTCAAGTTTTGCTGACAAGCAGCCTGTAGTGGAAACTTCATAGGACAGGGAGTGTTTTGCTAGCCTGCTTTGTGGAACAAATCAGTGTATAGAAGCTTTGGACAGAGCTAGCTTCCAACTTCCACCATAAGTATGTAGGTATAGTTAAGGTTCTAACCTAGAAAAAACTGAAGTTTAACAGCTGGTCACTTAGAGATTGTCTCTCTTCCTTTGCACTGTTGGAGTGATATAAGTGACCAAAGTAAAGCAAGGTGATTCTGTGGGTGACCTGATGCAGACAGCTGGATCTGATGCTTGCAGGTTAAGATATTCTAGCTCTAGGACTTTTTCTTGTATTCTCAATCAATACCAAGATTTGAGTGTGGTGTAAAATACTTTTTTCTGGCTAGGGGTTTACTTTTGAACTACTTATTGAGACAAGTTGGAGCAGGGGCGATTTATGTTTTTTGTCTGTGTAAGCATTTAGATTTTTATGCTCTGCCATAATGTTACTACTGTAGACTTGGCTTTAGTGTTATAAAAATTCTTGGCTTTTTTCTACTGCTTATGAGACAGTATCTAAAACTGCTGTTGATGGATATCTAACCACTGAGGGCGTGGCTTGTCTATATCTGATGCTTAGTGTAACAATTTATTTTAATATTTTGCAGACAGGAGGAAGCCTCTGCCTTTAACAAAATATCTTGGATAACTGCATGGAAATGGGACTGCCCACTAATCCCCTTCCTCCAGTGGATCTTGAATATCACCCCAGGATTTACAGAGATTCCAAATCATACAGCAAGGTAATGAGCAAGGAGCTCACTTTGTAAAATCTCTGTGCAAATCCAATTGAACGGGTGTTTTGCACTTGCAAGCTTATATGGGATAGAATATTAACTTGCTAGAAGACCACTGTTTAGGTTTTCTGTGCAATCTAGACTTGCTTTTGCTGGTAGACACATGAGAACAGCCTTCCCACTTTGCTTCTCCATAGTTATCTCACCACCCTTTTCTGGTCTGATGTGGAGGCTGGCAAGATTATGAGACTAGACAAGGTTTTACTGTAGGTGCAAGACTGAAGATCAAAGTATGTCAGAAATTACTTCCTCCCTTGCAATACTGTGGTACTGCTGTTCCTGCTGTCCATTGGAGGCATAGAGACTGCTGAGAGCTAACAGCCATTAAATAAAGACTAATTAAGTATTTTGAAAAATTCAGTGTTTAACTGTGGTTTAAGAGATGATGTGAACATGTGGAATTTAGGACACAGAGCAAGAAAACATACAGAAATACATATTATATGTGATAGTTAATAGTCTGTCTAGCACATTATAAGTTTATACAAACAACAGTTACAAATGTGTTCATATCGAAATATTAAAATTAATTGAACCTGCACAGCTGTAAGCAAGTGGGTTTTTTAATTGGGAATCACAAATCACATTTTTAGTGAATGATTTATTTGAAAAAAAGCCTGCATTTCTAAAGCAACTGCCATTCTGTGTTTGAGTCAATTTCTAGGCATATGTGTAAGCTAAAGCAATAACAATTTTAGAAATGTGAAACTGTTCACTGCTTGTACAACCTCTGTCTCTTTCTGGTACTTTGTGATTTGGTACTGTCTGGTACTTTGTGATCTGGTACTGTCTCTTTGTGGTACTAGTTCTTTATATCTTTTCTTGTTAGGTATTTTAGAACAAAGTATTTAATTATGGATTCAATGAAATTTGACTTCAAAGGGTTTTTCCCACCCCTTCCATGAATCAGGCGAGAAGGAGAAAAAAACTGTTCGTGTCCAAATGGATAGGAATTCTGTTTCTTGATTTCTGTGTTTGCTTGTTTATTTAGGAGAAGAAATATCAGAATACACAGTCAACAGAAGCAGAAAATGCTGTCTTTATGAAACGAGCTTTCAGCCTACTGTGTTTCTTGTGAGTAAAGCCTGGGAACATTCACCTCTTCCAGCACTGATACCTATATTTGCAAATTCGTTTTTAAATAGGATCAAATCCTGATGTCCTCATTTAAATTCTGTGCTTCTGAATTTCACTGAGATAAATCCACAGGTTTTGGTGATATGTTATTGCAGGCCTCAGTTCCTTTGCTCTGTACTTAACCTCCTACTGGCATCAGTAGGTCAGAAGCACTGGGGGCTTTGTCCTTGATTATCACAACACCCATCAAGCTCACTTTGGTCTCAAAAGAGTTTGTGCCAAACATCTTGCACTGAAACAGTAGTTCTCTGTTGTTCCTTCTAGCCTCTCCTTCCCTCCCCATATTATCCAGGGCAAAAGGAGTTTAAAGTGATTTCTATATCTGTATAATCTGTTTGCAGTATTTTGTATAATCTGTATATACAGTAACCCATTCTGTAAACCTATGTTCAAGTGCCTTATTTTATATTGTCTCTGTCAGGCATTCAAAAAATATGTTCAGTCCTTTTTTCCTCTGCTGTAATGAGTGAGACTTAAAAATCACCAAGAACAGTTGATGTGTCATGTAATTATTTGCTTTCTAGCTTTTGGAAGTTGGCTTTTTTGGTGTTTCTTCCTCACACTGAGAGACTTCTTTTTTTAACATCAAGGTGTTCATGTAGTCATTGTGTAGTCACTACTTCAGAAGATGGGATTTTAAGGCAGCTAGGTGTCATGGGGTATAATAAAATTCTGGGTACTATCAGTGATACTTGATTTACTAGGGGATGTAACCATGAAGTGTTTAAGACTAAGAGGGAATATGTAACGGACTTTTACCAGCAAAACCAAAAATTGCTTAAACATTTCTAGTCAGATTATACTTGTGGGAGGAGGAAGAAATCGTATGCAAGAGGCAACAATTCTTAGGCCTAAGATTTTAAGATGTGGCAATAGGTAGGCATCTCAGTCATCATGGGTGATGTGTGGACAGATTGCCGAGATTCGTTTGATTCAGGTGCGTATTTTCAGTAGCATTCTGTGTTGCTGCTTCAGCCCAACACCACAGTACAGGGATGAAAAATGTCAGGTTCTTTGAAACTACTAAAATGTACTAAGAGGGATTTGAACACTTTTCCTTGGTACTACAGAGAAGTACCAATGGCACAATCCTCATTTGTGGCATCTATTTAGCCTTTCAGGTTTTAGCATGTTGATCTTGGGAACACAGGATAAGAAGGACTTTGAGCTGCTGGCTGCAGCTGCTTCCAACTGAAGTGAATGACATTATCTGATTAAAATACACCTAAAAGCAGAGCTTTGTGTCTGGCCTTCCCCACTCAACAAACATTAGAACGATGTTTGCAAATGTGACAGCTCTGAACTTTAGGAAGAAGCTTTCACCTTCCAGATTAAATTTCTTCACATTAAATCTATAGGCCCTTTCTCTTCGTCCACTACTATCTCAAGAACAAGTAATTCTTCACCGGCTTTACTCCTTAGATTTAAAACTTTGTTGTGTTGTGTTTTTTTTTATTTTACCATTTCTCTTACAGTCCCTGTTGTGGCCAGAAGATGGCACTTATGTACGCACTAAGAGGCAAATGAGGCTAATATAATTTATCTTTGCTGAAATAGTGTTTGTGTAATAGCAGTAAATATCTTGGGCAAATGATAACTCACAGGATAAAAGATCACTTTGATCTTGTAGCACATGAGGGGCACAGATTCAAGAACAAAGTCCAGGAACTTGTTATTCCACATAGAAACTTTGTCCTTATTCAGTAATAAAGATCTGCTATACCCCTGAATTCAGAAGGCAACCATCAAACAAAAATCCTGCATGTTGGGGTTTTTTGTGGGTTGGTTGGGTTTTTTTAAGAATAATTTAAAAGCAGTTTCTACCACTTTTTTCTGTTCCAGCTGAGATTTTGTGCTACATGTTAAAGCCTGGTCTAAAGATGATCTTCCACTGAAATAGCTTTATCACCCATGGCTCTTGTACTTGCCCTTCCTCCCTAATTATGGTATTTATATTCTTTATGGAGACTGAGTTGTACTGTTCTCCAGCAAAACTAACTTCCCACACCTATTTGTGATAAGCCATCCCAACATGAATTTCTTTTATCGTAATACAAGTTTGCCATACATCAGGGACATTGCTCTAAACTAGTCTTGTTAAAAGAATACAGCTCTTCTGTAGCCATGTTCAAAGTCATGCAGCTCTGAACTTGCACCTAAGAGATTGTGGAGGGGAGCATACAAAGTGACAACTCATCTGGGCAGTTCCCAAGTCTGTCAGCATGTTTTTGTGCAGATCATGGGGCCATCTAAATCAAAGCAGAAACTAGAGTGGTTTGTCTGGCCTGCTGTGCATGGAGTAGTGCTGCCTGAAATCCCTGGACTCATGCCTCTGGCAGTCTCAAGGGGTCTAGATCCAGCTTCCCAATAGCCCTGCTCTTTGAATAAACCTTTATCAGGGTATGCCAGGGGTTTGATGTTGTCAGTTCATTACACCAACAGCCACACTGACTCCTTACGACCTTGTCTCTTTCACCTGCTATTATTGCCCACAGCCTTCTTCCCACTGCCATCTTTTATCACTGATTTATTTTCAGGATTTACTTCCAGACCTTTTGTTTTGCTCCCTATAAAAGCAGTAAGCATTGTCATGGAGGATGCCAGCTTGCATTCAAACTTCCCCAGCCTGTGAAACCAGCTTCAGTCAGAAAACTAAGCATGAAAACAACTGGAAGGACAACTGGAAAACTTATTTCATGTGTGTTTTCATCAGATGTCTATTGGTAAGAAAATCATAATATATATATACACCCACATACATGGGTACTGCACTGTGGCCACTAACAACCAGATTGTTTTGTGTTGCATGCAGAAGGATTCTTGCAGAGGATAGTTCATCCACTGGCTCTGATGGTAGTTTCTGTGATTCAAGACCAAATTGAGCCATATCAAACCCAAGTCCAGTCTTTGAAGATCCACATCCAAGTGCTAAGCCCCTAAGCAATCCAAAAGGCTCCTGGGCCTTATGAAGTCTGAAGAATGCAATCAACAGTCTGAGAAGGGAAAGCAGTTGGAAAAATACCTCTGGTGTCGATTGTACGCCAACGTCAAATACTTGACTGCTGGCAGGAGATAAAAGACTGTGAGCTACGAAAGGAGGAAGGACTGCAAGGAGCACTGGGCGTGGGCTGGCTGACTGCATCTGAACCAGCCATGGGGAGGCTGCAGCCTAAGCGCTGGAGTCTTGGCTTGCCAGTGGTCCAGAACAGGGTCTTTGCAGGAATAAGGCACAGTTGTTATCCAGACCGCATGCTTTATTTTTTTGTGTGTGAAAAGCAGGTCTCAGTAGTTCTACGACTGGATGGCTGCAGGTGCTTGGCAGTGAGATATAAGACTTCTGCTGCTGTTTTGCACTGTCCGCCTGCATGGGTCATAGGCTTCAAGCAGCTCTTGGCAGTGTGAGTGGACCTGCTACTAAATGCATGTGTAACACCATGCCGCCTTTGACTGTGAACTGTTAGCTGAACTGTTACACGCTTCATTTGCAAAACTCACTGGGGCTTTTTGGCAAAGTAGAAATATAGTCATTTCAAATATAAATAATTAGTAAAATAGACCCTGCCAAGAGAAACGTTACTCTGCGTGTGTGAATCTTGCCCTACTTAAAGAGAAAACAAGTTATATGATGGTTATGTTGTTTCATGTGCTACTCCAAAAAACTCTGGTACTAATGGAGAAGGGTGTTGTTAGAGCCTGAGTTGTGTAGAATTGAGATCTGGATGTGAGGTAGGTACTGTGGGAGTCGGGAGACCTGGCTTCTTTTTATAGCTGTTCTACAGCATCCCTGGCCATGGCACCCCTTCTATCAGATGTAGGTGATGGTGCCTCTCAGGAGAAGTCATTGCTCACTTTGAGGTCCCAGGTGTATTAGCATTTATGAAGCAAGTAAAGGACTTCACGCAGCCCACTGCAAAACAAGAGGACATGAAACATCAACACATATCAGTTTGCATTTGACTCTGCTTAATATGTCATGAGATATATTTACATTTCATTGGGTAGGAAAAAGCACCTTCTGAACCCATTAACTGAAATAAAATCCATCAAAATAACTATGTACCGTTAAGGTGAAATTTTCAGATAATTGCATATCTTCCTACAAAGCATATGTAGGTTGTTTTAACTTACACACACAAAAAAAATCCTGTTGTGTGAATGTGAAGTTAGTGCTTGCTCATGCTGGGTGCTTGTTGCTCAGGTCTTTAGATGGAAGCCTGGTATTTTTCTGCAGAAAAGCAGTAGTTTGCTTGGTGTCAGTGTAAATTCCTGCTAGTGTGTCACATAGCACACCTAGGTGTCCTGTCACCATGGCTGAGGGGGAAATTCAGCCTACGTACTTTGCTGGGACAACCCGAAAGTTCTAGTTAGGAAGGTGGATTTTCTGCTTGTTGAAGCTCCTGAAATAGTTGAAGAGCACTCTTGAAATCCTGCTGTGAACATAGAGTGATCCTTGGTTACTCTGTGGAGGTACTTTGTGGAGACAGCTATCCCAGGCTGGAGTGGTAGCACATTAAACTCTTGAGCATGATAATGACTACAGGGTGCTAGCAACTCTAGGATGTCCTTCAGCTGTGCTTGCTGTTCACAAGGATGGCAAACTTTACTTACAAGAGCAATCTCAAAGCCCTTGTCAAAAATCAACAGATCTAGAAATGCAGAATTGTTTTCCATAGCTTGAAAGCACTCAGAAGTCTGTGTCCTACAGACATCCACAGGAACTAGATGGCCAAGTGATGCCCTGTGTCTGTCCCGAGGTTTGTGTATGGGGAAGCAAGATGGGCATCCAGAGGGGACCCTTGTCAGATGTTCCAGTGCCACCCATCTGCTAATACCACCAGCAGCTCCAAGTGCAGCATGGAAGCAGGAGAGCAGCTGCAGAGTCCCTCCATCACCCTCCTGGCCAGGTGCAGCCTGACTCGTCCTGTGGTTGTGGGTGTGCACAGTGTTTAGCCCCAAACCTTCCTGCATCTCATGGAACCAGAAAAGTCGTTTGCGTTTTTCAATATTTTATTTTTTAATTTCCCACTAAAAAGAGTAGTTTTCTTCTATTTTGTCCTGTTCCTCTGCAGACTCATTATGTATTTGTACTATCTTGCCTTCTGAGAGCTTGCCATAGCTCTATAGTGTGATAATATTTGGGTTTCTGCACTCACTCTGCTGTTGCTATGCGACTAACCAACAACAGCAATTTGCATGACCCTTTCGTCAGATGATATTAATATTCAGGAATTAGTGCCAGCTGTAGTTGGTGATGTGACCATTCGCAGCCAGCCACCTTCTCCTTGCCTACCTCTTGCTTCTGGTATTGCTTGAAGTGAATGACTGTACGTTCTTTGGTATTGGGTAGCGTGTAAGGATTGAATATGGACGGAAACAGGACATAAATGCCATGAGGTCATCCTTGCATACTGGAAACATGAAAACTCTCAAGGGCAGAAAGTAAGAGCATGGCCAAAGGTTCGTGT